ACTAATCTTTCACTTGATGAGCCTGAATTAGAAGCTATGATATTTATTGAAGATGATATAGAAACTCAAAGACAAACCACTGAAGAAGCTAATCCTATCATTCCTTCTATTGAATAGTTCAAATTTCATGTGCTGGGCAATTTATCTTCTTGTTTTTGTTGTTGTACTAGACATTTCAATACTTAATACTTACTTTTATTTCAATTTTTTTGTCATTTCAAATATTACACTTTGATTACTTTATTAATTTTTATGTATTATTTATATATTATAATGCCGTATCCGCGCCGTATCCGTATCCTGTATTTTTAAGAATTGGCGTGTCCCGTATCCGTATCGTGTCGTATCCGTATCGCCGTATCCGTATCGGTGCAACATAGGTTGAAGTTATGGGAGTTTGATACAAAGGCAACAATAAAGATGGTGAGGGAAAACATATTTTTCATTATTTTCATTCCTCAAGTATTTATATTTTTGCTTTTATAATAGCTAACTATAATTGCAACCCATCTATTATGTATATAGGAACTTGGAAGAGTACAGAGATGGATTTTAATGGGGGTGTGAATCTCGTTCGAAAAAAAAAATAATAATGTTTGAAAGTTGAAACTTATTTGATTTTGAACCAGTGATTCTTCTTTCATTTTCTTACTATTATAACATAGGACTATTGATGTTGGAAGGTTGATGACTGCATTCAGACTTACATAATGAAAATAATATGAATACTAACCAGCACTTTATAATAGTTATAACACTATTTAATGTAATAATATTTGATTTAAAAAGGCTGGTCTTTTAATTTGTAATGATTTGTTAATCAACTCTATGTAATATAATATTATTAAGTGGTTCTGTTAAATATAATTCTTGGAATAATTTAGGCAACTGTTATTAATTTTTTTAGTAGTATAATTAAGTGTTATATTAATATTTAGAGCAATGTAATTATGCTTTTTGTTAGTGATTGGCTCTATTTTATGCTGTAATGTTTATCGTCGTAATGAGAAATTTAAAGCACACCATGTTACATATTATGAGCAGTTTCTAAGGGAGTCGTAAGACCTGTCAACCAAAATTAATGGGAAACCTATTAATGACCTACTTCTAATAGAAGCTATAAGATCTACCCAACGGGTTACTTTCAATGAACATAAGTCCCGACCCAAATTCAAATATCCGGGCAACTTTTAATAGAAGCTATAAGACCTATTTCAATTCAAATTTCTGGGTAGCTTCTAAATGAAGTAATAAATCCCAATCTAAATTAATTTCTAGGTATTCTAATAGATGTAAGCCCCAAAAAATCTCAATTAAATTAAAATTTACTTCTAAATACCTCAGTTTACTTGAGATCTCTGAGTAGGCAACCCATGACTGCTAATTAGATTCCTTGGATACTACGCTCAATAATTGCTAGTAATGGTAAACTGAAACTTTAGTATAGTCGGGACGACATAATTATGAGATATTGATTTGGGTTTACCTCTATTTTTCATGTCAATTGAGACTAAAACACTCAAAATTTATTCATCCTTAATTGAGAGTTCCCTTTTACGTACTAAGAGGGGTAATTAACGATGAATACTTACACTCATGGGAAAGAATGACCCAAATCTAATTAAACAATGATATTATCCTCAGAGAAAATTTGTTTAACTACAATCTGACTTAAGGGGAATTGAATCCCATGTCCGCAAAGCGGGATTCATGCCGACGCATCGTTTTTCTTGAGCCAACATCCTTTTATGACATGGAATTTTGAAAGAAATAGGATTTTGCTACAGGACAATAACTTGCTATTGTAAAATTAAAATAATTTTTAATAAGTATATTAATTTATAAATATTACTATGCCTAATTATTTTTATATACTTTTATATATATAAATGATTGAAATGAAATGCAGAATTTTATAAAAATAATTTCAATGATTTCATAAATGTATGAGAAAAGGAGTATATTTTAGTAGGAGAAAATTTCATCTAATCATTTTTAAATTTTTTAGGTATGACATCTAATTACATTTATTTTGAGTTCCTTACATTCCTTCAGCACAATGTTGGTATGTAACATGTGGGTGAATCTCCATGCATGGTCAATGCTACATAAGGCAAAATCTGTCTTTTTTCTCTGAATAGATGTTATCAAAGGAGTGCCGACCTGTGATGATCACTTTTATTTGGCCTCATTGGTTTTGTTGATAAATATGAAGTTTAGGTTGTCCTATAAGTGAAGCATATCCTTTTGGCGCGTAATTCTTCCACAACAGTTACATGTAATCTTGAGTCACTCTTAGCTGTCTGAGCTCTATTTTTTCGTGAATTTTGTAGGAAGCACTGAAGAGTACTGGGGAAGACAGGATGCTGCTCAAGCTATCGCATTGGTTGGGTGATTTTGAATGAAACATTTTCAAATTTTACTTTCTTTCAACACATGCTAGGATTGTAACCACATCAAAATGGCTATGCTATTCTTTTATAGCATGATACAGTAACCATCTAGTATAATTATTAGAATATCTTTTATAGAACTTGATCACTTTCCAGCTTTTTGTTCTTTAATTGTATTCTGCCAACTGCCGTAACTTGCTGATTTCTATTAATGAATTGTTCCTGCTCTTTCTTGATTGATCTTGCACTACTGCCTTAGCATTAGATTCTTTGCCTGACTCTAATTTCTAACAAGTTGTGCTCGACATATTCTGATGAAAACTGAATTGTTAAGGGAGAAAAAGAAGTCTGAGATAAGCATTAAATAAAACCGTTCGGTGCTATTTGGTATAAAAAATTGTGACGTTAAGAATACGTGACAGTGTTCTTTTGTAGGATTAGGACTTTAGGGTCTCTTGGAGATGTTAGAAGCAAAAAGATAAACTCATTGATCTTTTAAAATGGGATCAGGAATATGAAGTTTCATAAGCTAAATGATAGCTCTTGTTGGCAAAATTAGATCATTATTTTGTCATTGTTTTAGTTTGTTAACCGTCTAAAAATTGATAGGTTGTACACTAGTTAAAAAAATATGAAATAAGAATTTGCATATTTTTCCTACTTGGATAGTTATAGATTGTTAATCATATAAAATTTGACATTTTGTATATCGATGAAAAGTGTGAAAGAAGAATATTGCATATTTTTCTTATTTCAATTGGTAGAATATTTACATTATTTATAGGAGATACATAGTTCACAAAGAGGGAAAAATAAGAAGGTAATTAACCTATTTGATTAAAATTAATTCAAAATTTAAAAATTTATTTAGCATAAGAAAACTGTGTCTGATTAATTACGTATGGAAGACAAACTAATGGTGGATTGCCAATGTAGCTGATCACATAGTTGATGACATTTACATCCAATGGAGGAGATGCAGTTGCAACACTGTCGTTGTTAGGTTCCAAGTTCTAGATGTGAAAAGTGAAGTGTTGTGTTAGGTAGTCGACAACCAACGTAAAATTTGTTGAATAATCATGACATGAATCCTTTAAAAAATTGTGTTAATGCTAGGGCTTTCCTGGAAGCGACGCGTTATATGGCCTGAATACAATGACAAGTGTAAAAGGGCCGCTGAACCGGCGCCCGGGTGCAGTGTTAAATAGGCAAGGGTTCCCACATCAAGGACGGATGAGGGAAAAGAAGCTAGTCCATGAAACTAAAATTAGAATATGAACTTGGAATATAGGCTCCCTTACAGCAAAATTAATATAATTAATAGATATTATGATTCATAGAAATATAAATATTATGTGCATTTAGAAAACTAAATGAGTTGGAGAGAAAGCTAAGGAGATTAATAGTTTATGATATAAACTTTGGTATTCGGGTAGGAGTCCTACTGGAAATGCTATAGGTGTGATTATAGATACGAGTTTGAAGGATAATGTTATATAAATTAATAGAATTGAAGATAGAATTATAGCTTTAAAGATTATTGTTGATATTACGATTGTTAATATTATAAGTGCTTATGCTCCTCAAATAGGTTTGAATATGAGTTCAAAATTAAAATTTTGGAATGACTTGGAAGAATTAATACAAAAGATACCTCTTGAAGAAAGAGTTTTTATTGGAGGAAATTTAAATGGACATGTTGGTAGAGAGGTAGATGATTTTAAAAACATCCATGGTGGTCATGGGTTTGGAACGACAAATGAAGGTGGTAAGACTATATTTTAGCTTATGATTTCGTAATAGCTAATACCTTATAAAAATGGATATAATAAAACGCATATTGATTATTTTCTTATAAGAAAATTAGATCGTTTAGATTGTAATGATTATAAAGTTATTCCGAATGAAAATTTATGTACCCAACATTGATTATTAGTTATGGACTTTAAGATAAAGGATAAATAATTAATAATAAAATAAAACGATTTTCTAGGATTAGATGGGGGCATTGAAAGAATATTAACAAAAGTATTTTTGAGAGTAAGATTTTAGATTTTAAGATTATGTGGGAAAAAATGGTTTGTGATATTAAGAATATTGCAAAAGATGTGCTTGGAGTTTCGAAGGGAAAAGCTCATAATATGAAAAATAGTTGGTGGTGAAATTTAAATGTGCAAGAAAAGATAAAAAAATAAGAAGATTTGTTATAAAAATTAATTTAGTTGTAAAAATTCTGATAATTATAAAGAGGCTCGTAAGGAATCTAAGAAAGCTCTTTGCATTAGCTTTTAATGATTTATATAATATATTAGATACTAAGGAGGGAGAAAGATATATGTATAAGTTAGCCAAACAAAGAGATAGGAGTAGTAAGGATTTAGTTCAAGTGAAATGTATTAAGGATGAATGTCAAAAAATATTTTTCTTAGAAGATGATATTCAACAAAGGTGGATGAGGTATTTTGCTAAACTTTTTATTGAAGAATGTGAAAGTACGATTGACTTTAGTGACTTTATAACCCTAAATGAAAATAAAGATTTTTGTTTTTATCGCTGTATAAGTAAAACCAAAGTTAGAGAGGCTTTGAAAAAAATGAGATGTAGAAAAGCTGTTGGACCTGATGATATTCCAATAGAGATGTGAAAATGCTTAGGCGATGAAGGAATTTCTTGGTTTACTAAACTTTTTAATACTGTTTTGAAGGCTAAAAAGATGCCAGATCAGTGGAGAATGAGTGTGTTAATTCCTATTTTTAAGAATAAAGATAATGCACAGGAGTGTGCGAATTATAGAGGAATTAAGTTAATGTGTCATACTTTAAAACTATGGGAGCGAGTTAAGGATAGCATAATAAAAATAAAACACAGCTAACATTGTTCAAAATACAATAAAACATAAATAAACAAAAAATAACTGAATGCATCAAGCTGGATCAACACCCCCTAGCTGATGAGCATGAACTTTGCTGTTTAGCATAGCTTCAAGATAACTACATTGTAACGCTAGATACCAAGAAATCTATACAATAACATTTCAATATGTTCTAACATCCAATGCTCGAGCTGAAGATGCTTATTTATTTGGAAAATGCCCACAAGCGTGCATGTAAAAAACAAGATGAAGGTAGAAGAAAAAACCTTAATGAAGAAGAATGAAAAGGGGATGTGAATATCATCGGAGGTGCTGAAGAGTACTGCATGGTATAAAAAGATTTGCTTTTTCTAAAGCAAGAAAGAAAATGAGACTATTAACATTTTTCATAATTTTCGTACAATCAAAGGCTAAGAAGGCAAAGTTTTCAATGATAGTGATAGCTATTCGAATAAGGCTTGAACATTTGCAAGGTTCAAGCCTCATTAAAATCCGCATCTTAAGTCTTTCAAATTATGTTGTACATAATTGATGAGTTGAGTTCTATGTTGCACGGATACTCCTATTTACGAAGCGTGCTGTATCGGATACGTGTCGGATACGGATACGCCTCCGATACGGCACGGATACGTGTCGGATACGGCCTTGCCGTGTCCGATTAAAATATTATTTAAATTTGACTGGACGCGTATCGGATACGCGTCCTATTAAAAAAAAAAACACAGAGCCACGATTTACCCTTTTCTTTTCGACTTTCCACCGTTTCCGCTCAAAACACGGAGTTGGGTCCAATAGATGTTGACAGTGGCTTGATTGACATAACTGAATGCAGAATTTTATGTGCTATTTTCAAAATAACTAGACCCCTCCCCCCCCCAACCCCCCCAAGCTGAAAATATATGTTGATCATTTCAAATTTGTAAATTTGATTTATTAAGAGTTGTATGAAGAATGACAACAAATTATTGTTTTGTTGGTGTGTAACTAACTTAGGATAATTTTTTGTTCACTTTTCTCCTTTTATAATGTGGTTATCAATCTTGATGTGTTTATCTACTAAAAGGTTGAATGTTACATGAATGATCTTGTTGTTAAAAGTATAGATCGAAAATATCATCTCGAAGATTTAAAAATAAAAATTATATTTGAGAGGATAAAAAAAAATCAATCTTAAAATGAAGCTACTCAAGTGTGCTTTTAGAGTTTCCTCAGAAAAGTTTCTTGGATATGTTGTACGTCATAGAGGGATTAAGATTGATCCCAACAAAATTAAGGTGATTATGAAAATGTTGCCTCCAAAAAGTCTTCATCAACTTTGTTCCTTATAAGGGCAATTTGTGTTTATAGGCGGTTTATATCAAATTTGTCAATAGATATCAACCATTTGCAATTGTTAAAAAAAAATGTTCATTTCAAATGGAATGATGAATGTCAAGAAGCTTTTGATAGCATCAAGAGATATTTGTTAAGCTCACTTATTCTTGTAGCATTGATTCCAGGGAAGCATCTCATCCTGTGCGTAGCTATTTTGGAAGAGTCCATCGGAGCATTATTGATACAACATAATGAAGAGGATAAAGAGAATGCTCTGTACTATATCAGTCGTAGGCTAATCTGAGCAGAAATGCGCTATTCTCTAATAGAAAAACATTGTCTAGGTTTGAGTTTTGCTGTCTAGAAATTCGTCATTATATGCTCTCATAAAGCCACTTTAATATCAAGGTTGATCTGTTGAAGTTCTTGATGACAAGACCAACGTTTACAAACCGAAATTTTAAAATGCCAAAATCCAATGATTGTCAAAATTTCCATTCAAAATAGGGGCATTTTAAATATTTATTTAGGTTGATATCGTGCTTTGCACTGAGATCCCCAAATAAATATTTAAAATCACTCAAGATACTATCAATATTATTATATAAATACAGGGTAGAAGCTGATGCTTTCAAGTAAACAATTATGTGATCATTGCAAAGATTGAAGATTCATTTCCAAACTTGCCAAGATCCTGAAGTTTAAATGTGGAGAACTTTTAGTATGACAACCTCAACAAATCAAGTTTAAGCACGAGCTATTTCGCCAACATACTGTTTGGGTTGTTCAGTTCACAATTGAGGCACTTTGAGATCACTATGCGCGATGTTGCGCCGATCGATCACCTTCTTCTACCTTAAGCGAAGTTCTCACTTTTATCAATTCTTGTTCTGGAATTAAGCTTAGTTCACATGATCACTCCAATTAGTGAAAACATAGATGATAGGAGTGGATATAATTAATATAAGTGGGATACCTCTACAAAATGCTTAGGCTTTAGTAACCATTTCCTGAATCAATTCAAACGGATTTGACTAAACAGATTTAAACACCACATGTCTCTTAACAAGACTGCTGCATGCGGTTCTTAACAAGAATGAGTGAGATACATAAGGCTGAATAATGGCCTTGGAATGGTGGTGCTAGTGATGATGAAAATTTTTCATCAGGTGCAAGTTGTTTCTGCAGTCAATCAACCTTTCTTTCCATATTTAACTTTGTCATGAAGCGAAGTAGTTTCAATTTTGATCAACTTTTAATATGTATGCATTCCTTATATTACTTCTTAATGTACATTGTGCGTCTATCTATTTCTTATGTGGGATTTTAGGTGGCACTTGCAGCAGTTATTTTAGGTTAACTGTTGATTGTTGTTGGGGGACTTGTGTGGGCATTCGGATTGGCCCAGACTAACCAATTTTCTTGATTTAAGCATTAAGACAACTTTGCTTTTTACTTGTTGATTTTCTCTTAGATTATTACATATCTTCTCTCCTGAGTGCAAAATGTATCTTCCATAGAACTGCCATATATTACTGTAACATAATCTTTTTGATTGAATACTGTTTAAATATGAGGATAATTTCTTTTTTTTTTTTGGTAGCTTTTATGGCAGGGACTGGGGCTTGATGGTGGTAACGGTGTGGGAAAATGGGACAGGTATGGATGTGCAAGGTTTACGACCTTTTTCAGAAGTAAAATTAGTTTGTCTTGGATAGTGCTTTAAAACTAAAATATTGGAATGATCAATTTTACAGTTTTTTATCCAAAGGATCCCTAAATAGGGACAAAATCTATTTCAATAAATAATTTGTTTTTTTACTGTATCACATAAACATTGGATTTCGTTTGCAGTTTATTTTTTCAGGAGATTGGTAAGCAGACATTAAATTATGCAGTGTTCTTTTTCTACCGATTGTAAGGCCTCCGATTCATCTGAAACTTATTTTATTGCTGCATGAACAGGAACAGTTACAACAAAGTTCTTCTGGCCATAGGTGGTGGTCACTATGTACCTCGTCACATGGATATTATCCAGTAAGCAGCCCTACATACATACTAGTTTAAATGCATAGACACCTCATGCATGTTGATAGGATTTTAAAAATAAATAAAAACTTAATAAATAAAAAATCAATTAATTATATTATTTATGAGATAATAGATTTATTTTATAAGTTTATCATCACTAATAATTCTACAATAAGAATATATGCACTATATTGATACATTTTCTCCATTTCCATATCAAATTTCTATCACAAGATAAACTATGAGTTAGAAAAAACAAAATGAGCTAATCAACTCACGGACAAATGCTAAATTGTGTTATTATGATATATTTTTCTGTATTTCGACATATATATGCACTTCAATTATTGAATCCCACTATACAACACTCTATGTTCATCATAATCATCATCATAATCATGAAAACCATGCCATCATTATTCTTATTATAGCTCTTTGGGATTAGCAAATCACAGCATTCACTGTATTTGTTAGAAACATGGGAATATAGCGGAAATAACATCCATGTTTTCCATTACAGAGATATATTTCTATTCCCAAAATACTCAGTTTTTCTAAGCGGGGGCTTTTTTTTTTTTTGTTAATATTATCTGCTAGTAAAGATGTTTCCTATCGAGATTGACAATGTCTTATTACAAGCATTCTTGATGTTAATATTGAACAGTGTTAACTGCTACTACATTATTTAGTTAAAGATGCACTTAAGAATCTAACCGATGTTTTGCTTGTTCTCTCTTTGAGGAAATAATAAGGAAAAACAGATAAATTAATTCTGGAACTCCCGTGGAAATTCACAATGCTCATTTTTATCTAAAAAAAATTCTATTGTCCAACTGAAGTTATGTTTGCTGGTTTGAATGAAAACCGGAGACACTGAAGCAAAATGAAATCGTTTGAATTTGCCATGCTACTAAAAGTTGAAAATTGACAATGAAATATAAATTCTATAAATTTTTGTATTTTTATTACTCTCAAATGACATGAAGTTGCATGCTATAAATGCTTAGCAACAATTCTAGAGCACAAGATTAGCGTCTCCTTTAAGCTACAATGGCATATAATTTGTAGAGATATAAATATGAATGTTTCTTGTTTCATTTGCAGTATTGTCTTCCTTCTGGATGGAGATTTTTTTTTCTTAAACTTAAGCTAGTCATTATGGATTTTTTCATGCCATTTTTCTTTTGTTAAGTCTGAATTTTGTCAATGTGCACGTCTTTTTCTATGCTTGAATTTTTTTGTTTAATATTTCCTTTTTTTTGGGTGGTAAAATGGTTTCTTCTAAAGTTGGTATATTATAATTCTTAACAAATAGCAAAGCAGAAGCCTTTCATTTACTGACAGTTCTGTATTACTTGCATCTGGAAATAATTCAAGGAAAGAAGGTGTGTGGGTAGGACACCTACTATCAGGATATTCTTTGCCAATGGAAGAGCCAGCACAGCGTAAAGCAGGTGATCAAGATAAAGGTATTGGTGGAACATGGAGGCAATCTATCAAGGTTTCACTTGAAGCAACAAAATCAGCTTTTCCAGGAGGTGTAATTCTAGCACATCTTGATCAGAAGTAAGCCCCCTTTACCATTAATATATGATGAAAATTTGCTTTGCATGTTCTGTTTTTATAGACGATGGTTTCCTCACTGTGCTTTTGGTGGTACACATTGTGAATTTTTTTTTCTTAGTTGCTCGCCAAATGAACTTTCTTTCTACTTGCTGTGTTCTGGGTTACATAAAATAAGATATCCAATTTCCTAAATGTTCCATAAAACTTGATAATTTCCTATAATCTAATAAATGTTCAGATTTTAGAGGTGAAGGGGATATCCATATGCTTCCCATAACACCTCTAAAATCTGAACCAAATGTTCGTGAAGGGGATATCCATATTTCCTAAATGCGGGAGCTGGTTGCGTGAACATTGAAGGGGAAGGCCGGCTAGGTTAGAGAGAGAGGTGGAGGAAAAAGGGTTCAGATTTTAAGGAGGGAGGATGGAGGGAAATTAGGAAATTGTTTTCCTAATTAATCCTTTCAGTTTGGAAAGAATTTAAAGAGAAATTTAAGAGAGGGAGGGGGCGGGTAAGAGAGAGGGAGGTTTGAAATATTTCCCAAATAAGAGGCTTAACTTTGAAAAGCATTTAAGGGGTGGGGACAAGGATGGGGCCAGCGGCATCAAGAGGGGAAGAGGTGTTTTGAGAAAGAAATCAAGCCTACTTGATTTGGAACATTAAATTAGTAAGGATGTATCTTATTCCAATCTAATTTAAAATTCAAATATGATTGATTTTGGAAACTTTCCAAAAATAGAATTATAATTTTGGAAAGATTTCAAAATTCAAATTTAACCAAATAATTGAAATTAAGTCTTTCCAAATAAGGTTTGGTATAAAAGGAAAGTAATGAAGAGGGCTTGGATTTGGAGGCAAAGGTGAATTGGAAAGGGAGGGGGCCGGCGGCTTGAACTAGGACTACGGTTAGGGTTAGGTGTAGGTGGGGGGAATTAAGTGGATCAACCAATCAAGGGGTGAGCCACCTTGGATGGCCGGCGGCTAGGTGGGGTGGGGGAAGGGTATTGGCTGGCGATGGAGCTTGGTTTTGGAGTGGAGGCTGATGGTTTTGGGGTTGGGAAACCCTAGGCCAATGGCTAGGGGAAAGGGGAGGGAGGAAAGAAAGGATAGGGAATAAAAGAGAGCTATGAACCCGGACTCTTTCAAGGTTGGTGGGTGATCTGCTTCCCTCTCCTAGGGTTTTCTCTCCAATGACTCTCAAGCTCTCATAAGAACTCAATTTACATGAATTTAATTATAATTCATTAATTAACTTCAAAAGAAACATAAGAGGTCTATATATAGCCTCATATAATGAAAGGGAAATAAAAGATGACATTGCCCCTATGACTTACATATGACAAAACCCTTAAAGGTAAAACGGGAATGATACTAAAACAAATACATAAAGTAAATAATTAAAACAAATACATATGAAGACTCGAAAATAGATCGGCACAATCGTGGCCGTAGATCGTCGACCACGTCTCTGATATACTTTCCATGATCTGATGTAATCATCACTCGCTAAGATAGTATATTATGCTTGCATGTTTTGCTTGTACATTGTGATCGTCTGATGTGCCCGTGTGATGTACTCTATTGAAACTGCATGTTGTGTGTGCCTCCATTTGCAACCATGTTTACTATTGTTCCTTAGACCTACCACAATCCCTACTTTGTTAGCCATTATTTATAGCCAAACTTATCATCAGGGGAGGAATCTCGAATTTGGTGTTGGGACCATATTAGCGAACATCAAGTAGGGCAAACCCCGCACGTTCATATTTTGATTTGTTGACAAGGAAGACTATTAGCGGTTTTGAACGCCAGGAAATTATTTTTCCACCTAGCCCTAGGCTTGTGAATTGATCGTTCATTCTTTTTTGAACTTGGGTTTCTGAGGGTTTGCGATCTTTGAAGTTCTTATTCCATACTTTTTTATGTTTTCTGATCGGTAAAATAGATTGACTTGTTGACCACTGGACCCTACAACACTCACGATCTTCTCCCAAATGACACAATTGTTCGGCCTACATGATATAATTGTTCAACTCGTCCCAACTAAAGGCATGTAGAAACTGCTCGCCCCTCTCATTTTATTCGACTCTCATGCATGGAACTCCCTCACCATCTCGTCACTCGGTTTGTCTGCAGAGATCACACGCAAGGAAGACACACAGGTTATCCTGCTCATCCCCCTCAAGACGCTCCGCCTGCACATGCGACGTCAGCCACGCGACCAGGTCCCGCATGTCTGCATCCCGCCTCAATCCCGCTTCAGCTCCGCGTGCAGCCTGCATGCCCGCATTCTGTAACTCCATCTTCGACCCGCTCCCGCATGAGAGGCTCTAGCCCGTCTGCCCTCTCAGCCTCACAGCAACCCGCCGCACAAACCCAGTTGCAGGACTTCAACCCGATCATTCTCTCCCTTTCGCATGATAGCCGCATGTAGGAAACCGTCTAAAGCTCGATCCCCTTCTATGTTCGTTCAACCCGAGGCCTCTCTCCTATGATTGACCCAAGGTGTATATATATAAAGTTTTAAATATGTACAAACAAACTTGAAGACCTGCACCGTTGTATCTTTAATCTAGGCAGGAATATTTGATTTTAAGCCCTCGTGCCATTGTTTCTTTGATCCAGACGGGAATTTGATTTGAAGATCTCGCGCCATTTTATATTTGATCCAGACGAGAAGAACATCGGCAAGTGTCGTCCCAACCTCTCTTTGTTGGGAGAGGACGCCGGGAGGTTGCTGGATTTCCGAAGAAATGTTAAATAAAAAAAGTAATAATAAATAAAAATATAACTCAAAATAACTGGTTTCGAAGACCTACGTCATTATAATTTTTTATCAAGGTAAAAGAAATGAATATAAAGAAAACCTACGCTGTTGTATCTTTGATGCGGGCAGAAAAAATGAATATATGAAGAGCTCATGCCATTGTATCACGAGCTGAACAAAGATAAGTGCCTCCCAACCTCCCTTCGCGAGTAGGTGACATCAAGAGGTTGCCGAAATTTTGAACAAATAAAAGACCCTCACATAATTAATTTTAAAAGTAAAATGTAAAAAAAAATCATTTTAAAGGATATATATATATATATATATATATATATCATTTCAATAAAAAAAAGTGGGGAAAGGATCACAACAACAAGAATCAAAGACAGCTAAAATCCACTTAAAATGAAAACCAAGGAAAAAAAGAATCAAAATTTGAGAAAAGAGGAAAATTTAACCCATTAAGCAGTGAATGTACAACATATGATATTGCTCCAATTTATCATTTTTTTTTATTTACTTAGGTTAGATTTAAAACTCTTAAAATAGTCTGTTTGACAGCCACCACTTAGTAACAAAATTGAGGACAACTTCAAGAAACAGAATAAGGTTGAAAACAAAATATCATGGAATTGATACTGATGAATATAGAGGAGCTGAATTTGCTATATGATAACACTAGGTCTTCAAGTTATACAAAACTATATCAAGGATTTTATATCAATAAGTAGTTTCATTCTTCATGAGATTCTTAACATTCACTTAATGTTAGAGAAAGTAATTGTTGACTTTGAAACTGCTTAGGCTATTCTCAAATTATTAATAACAATGATCACACAAGCATATTACAGACATCATCAAACAAACTTGAAATTCAAACATAACATTCAACATAGTACAATTATAAGATACATCATATAAGTGTACTACAATTCTATTACAATTAAAGTGCATTATGTGATTAAAATATAAATGCATTATTTAAATGCTATTGTATTATGCAAGAACAACGTTCAAAGTCTATTAAAACAACAATAGTGAGCAAATGTAAATTGTGTTATACAAAGATAATGAGAATGCAAAACACATTACGTAAGTGTAACGAAAGTGCAAAATATGTTATGCTAGGTTCCGCATGTGCTCTGATATTTATATCAAGCTCCTAAATACAAGATCTGAGAATGCTTCATGGATTTGCTAAAAGTGTTCAAGTATCTCTACAATATGCTAGGGGGGTCCATCTTGTGGGGCCCAAGAGAAGCTATTTAGGGAGGTTCCTAATCAAGATGAGTTGTTTAAGAATGTTCTTAATTAAGAGGAATTTGTTTAGGATTTGTTGGCTTGGAAAAATTTATTTGAATGAATTTTTACCATAAAAGCCTTGAATGCGTTACCAAGTTTTTTGGCTGAATTTGCCAAGATCATTAGTCCCGGATTTTAGATGGAAAAGACTGTTTCGATTGGGGCATGAGAATTGCACGTATTTTTTTCTCAATATCTATGCCAAATTCTATATTTTCTGGAATTTTAAGATATTTATATGGTTTGTATCGATCAAAAAATTGATGATTGTTCATTTCGCTTATTGTTTTCCCCTTTTTTAAACTGATGTTACCGGTTAAGTAGTTGGAAGATCTTTCTCTACATTATTTGTTACATGAACTTCTGCTCGCTGACTCAGATATCTGCTTTCCAGAATCAATGACAATAAACAACTTTTCTCCTTGCAGGAGTATGAAGGGCTGGCAGAAAAACGCTATATTGAGCTTCTTGGCTGAAGAAAATATAAAGGCTGGAAAACCAGATGACTTCATTTAATACTGTAAGTCTTGAGATTATTTTTGTATGATCAATTTAGTCTTAGAGTACTAAGTTGTTCAAATAAAATCCATCCTCTATACAAAATTGATTCAAAATAGTTCATCATATTGTAATGGTCATATGAAATTTATCCTAATTTAGTCCCAATGGATTATTTTGAATCAATTTAATATAATCGAGAGGCTAAATTGGAGCAACGTTATGTTGTGGGACTAAAATGATCACATACAAATAGTCGGAGGATTATTTTGAAATATATATAAGTAATAAATATATAAACATCCATATTTCTTAGAGCTTGCTTCCATTAGTAGTGCTTTAATTGTAATCCTAATGCTACTTTGTACTTAACCTAATTCTTTAGTAGTTCATGATAGGATGAAAGGTACATTAATAAATTGAAATAATATTTGATTTAGTCATTTTAAACTCTAAATCATCTCAAAATCAATTTTGAGGTTATAGAGGGAGCTCCAAATTGACAAAAATTGGCCCAAAGTGATTTGATGCTAATAAAGTTCAAATGAGTTGATTGTTAGCCCTTCTAATAAGGATTGTAATTAACAAAGAAAAAACACTAATTATCAGATGTTGATGCTTTAAGATAAACTTAATAGCATAATCTATTTCATTAGATGGGTAAAACTTAAAATGATCTAAAAAGGCAAAAGAGGAAGTTCTGATGCACTTCTATGCGTGTTACTCATGCAAAAAATGATCATACGTTAATAATTCGTTGATTTTTATAAAGAAATATTTTAAAATAATTTGAACTTCCACACATTTATTAAAAATCTTATTAGTTTAATTAAACTTGTATTATTATCAGTATTTATGTGATTTACTCATTTCATTTTTACAAATAATAATCTTAATTGTAGTTAAATGTCTAATTAAGAAACCATTTAGGAACATTTTTAATTTTTAATTTTATTTCATTTTTCATTAAAAAAATATATTTAAAGACTGAAATATATATGAATTTAGTAAATATTATCTATGTTACTTTATTTTACAAGAACAACCACAACTGAAAGTATTGACCGACAACATACTCTAGTCGTACAATATCAGTGGCTTGAGTCTTTATAACAGAAAAAATTACTTATAACGTTTGTAACACCTAAATTACTTTTGGAAAATAAATAAAAATCAATCAATATGTCAGCGTCCCTAAATATAGGTTTCATTTGAAATAATTTTCTTACCATTTTTTATAATAATTTTTTGATGATTTTCTTTTGAGGGGAAAAAAAGGTGTGATCAAAAGCTATTTAAAATAAGATAAATTATTCTAAGCAAACACCAGACCATCCGAAGTTGAATTAAAATGAGTCACATCACGCAATATTGTGACCTAATATACAATTATGATACATAACAAATGAATGATGTGACACGTTCTGATTCAATTCCAACTCCAATGATATCCGTATTTTCACAGAATAATTTCACAAAAAAGGAAATCATAATCTATTGTTATGCTTTCAGGACCCACCAGAAACTACATATGAAACTCTACTTTCTCATGTTGCAGATTGTTCATCAGGTATCAAAAAAAAAAAAAAAAATTAGACATACTATAAAGGGATAAAATACCAAAAACAATAATTGAGTTCTTGACATGATTTACATTAGCAGAAAACTGCCTTATATGTCCATAAATTCAACATTATAGAACAACTATTTGCAACAACAAATTGCTCATCAATACGTGTTAATTTTCTCATTTTTTTAAATGAATCTCTTGACCAATTTTTTTTTTTTTCCATAATAAACTGAGGGAAAGACAAACACAAAATAAAGTTTTATTGCAGGCGCACAATCACTTGTTATACACTTAATCTTTACATCTATTATTTCCTCGACTACATACACTCAAACTTGCACAACCCATACAACAATCTCATACCAGACCCCCAAATATACTACAAGAGCAAAACCTGAACAGATAAAAAATGGTTAAATAATAGAAAACAAGCTCTCACAACCAAGCTCCAATGAAAAAGAATAACCACGAAAGAGCACAAACCTTAGCATTCAACAACAAAATAGATTGAAAAAAAAGGGACCAAACTAAATGGGAGCAGCTGCAGCTAAAAACACACTGGCACTGTCCCCTCGCGAACCCCTCACGACGGTTAAATATGGCTCCAGCTCAGAAAGAGAGTGGGGGCCACAGCTTAACGGTAAATAAATCCATTAATCACATTTTGCAATGGTAAGAGAGTGCAGAAAGGAGTTTACTTGAGATTCTGCAATACCACCATATTCGGAGCATCAGAATAGCTGAAGAGCCATTTTAAGCTTGTTCTGCTTCCATTTGGGTAATTTGTAGAAAGCATTTTTGGTCATGCCGAATTTCTCCTTGAATTCTACTGAAGATAAATAGGTCTGCAGAAATATATACATGAGATAAAAGATTAAAAAAAAAGATATAATTACAGAAATAGAAGACAAAGGGCTTTGATTATTGACCTCTCGTTTGGTTATGTCGATTTCTGAAACGGGATTTGAAGAAGTTGTTTTCAATCGTTCATAGGGGAAGATAGGGCCTTGGTCATCTTCAGCCTCCCCTTCCTTCACATCTTCCTGTATGGAGAGCGATTCAATTCTACTGTTCATCACATTGACACTCTCCTTGGAATTTGTTTCAGGTTTTTTTGTGCTGGTAACAGGGCTCACTGTCAGAAAAGTCAACTGTTAGTTCCTTAAAAAAAAAAAAAAAAATCTGTCAGAAGTTCCTCAATCTTTTTTATTTTATTTTAAAAACATTCAAAATAACTTAAAACTACTTTAGAGTGTTTTAAAAACTATCACTGTTGGCTGGCCACCACCACCGTCATCATCGCCTCGCTTGCTATCATTATTTCTAATAACCATGTCTATTTTATAAAATACACAAAAAAAAAAAATTTTTTTTTTTCTATATATATATATATATATATATATATATATATATATATATATATATATATATCAAATATATTTCTATTTTATAACAAAACATAACAAAAAAATTAGTGATCCCAGACTACTCCTAAGCATAGTCATTTTGGAAGATCAATACAATTATGAAATTACCTTTAGTCATCTTTGGAATCATAGTTTGGGTTGGGCGTTCAAAGGTGGCCGTGAGAGCAGCAATAGCTTCTGCCTTGGGAGCAACGTTAGCAGGAGAATCTGGTGTCGTTGATTTTGGATATAGTTTTCTAACAACAGGGGGAGGAGTTGATAGGTTTCGAGCACTTGGATTCTCAAAATTAGCCGCCAATGCATTAAAGGCAGGAGATCGGCCACGAACACGAACTCGATCAGGGCTAAATGAGGTACTTCTAGAGCGCTGAGATTTGTCTGGTAAACTAGACCTCCCAACATGTGTTGTAGGCGTTCGTCGCTTGAGCTTCTAGAAAAAGTTGAAAGAGATCGTCAAAGGTAATTTGTAGAATGATAACAATATTATGAACTATCCCAACAAGCAAGTAAAACCTATTCATATTTTTTGAAAAATTAAAGCAATATTGGTGACAAAAGAAATGAGGGGCGCACATTAAAAAATTGTTAAGTCTCATCTCTGAAACTAAAAATATTATTAATAAATATTCTACATTTCTAATCCAAGTAATGTTACATACTTCCACAATAACAACAACAACAACAACAACAACAACAACATCAAGCCTTTATCCCACTACGTGGGATCGGCTACATGAATCATTTTTCTCCATTGTGTCCTATTAAAAGTCAAATTCTCGTTTAATATTTAATGAGCTTTAAGTTTGGAAGTACTGTTACATACTTCCAACAAAAAAAAATTTAATGAGCCTTATTTCAAAAGATACAACTTAGGCACATAAGAAAATGCCAAATCAATACTAAATGACACTAGTCACTTTTTCTAAAGATAAACAGGGACAAATAAAAAACTAAAAATAACATAAGTGAAACTGTGAAAGACATGAATAAAGATTAGCTGATCATGACAACAACAACTTAGAAGAAGGCTAGATGTCAGCTAAGGCATACTAGACACTAAGCAAACATAGATGGTAGCTCATCATCATGTAGGGTCGATTACATGAATCCTTTATCTCCATTGCATCTTAGTAAAAGTCAAATTATAATTTAAATCTAATAAAAAAAATGTCATTTTCAATACTTTCTAACCAAGTCTTTATCGGTCTACTTCTATCTGTTTTAACAGAGGCTGGATCTAATACATCTATTCTCCTAATAGAGTCATCCGAAGGCTGACGATTTATAAGAACAAACTATCTAAGGAAACTCTCTCTAATCTTATCAGCCATTGGAGCACTCCAACCTTTTTATGTATATACTTGTTTAACATTTTATCTCTAAGTGTAAAGTCACTTATCTACCTGAGTATGCTTATCTTTGCAACACTTAATTTTATGCTTCTCTTTTAATGGACGACATTCTCTGCCATAAAACATTGCAAATCTCACCACCATCTTATAAAAATTTCCCTTAAGTTTTAGGGATATTTTTCTATCACACAACAAGCCTTATGCATTCTTCCACTTCAATCATCCAACTTGAATTCTACTAATAATATCCTCATCTATTTCACTATTGCTTTGAACAAAAGACTCAAAATATCTGAAACACACACTTTTTAACAACTTGAACTAATATCACAATTCCTTATGTAAAAAATGGAGAGTTGCATTAGGTAGTTAATGACCAATGCAAAAGTTGTCGAACAAACATGACATGAATATTTTAATACATATGGCCAACTTTATCTTCTGCTCTCAAAATTCTTCTCTTACCTTTCATTATCAACTACTCTCACCCACAAAATACAACAGAAAATTTATTAAAATTTACTGCATTCCTGCGAGAATCACTACCTCATGGGTCAAATAACTTTGGTGTCTTGTTTTTTAATTGGAGTAAAGTGTTGGCAAAGAGAAAAAATTATGTAAGGTAAATATTCTGCAGATGACTCATTTCTTGATTCAGCCTTTAGAAGTTTACAAAGGCTTTGAGATTTACCAAACATCATCAGTGGTTTATTGATCATAAGATAACAAGATATTTAGGCTTCAAAAATGCTAACTGGTGGTCTACATGAACGTTGATGGTGTTGTTGCTCAAATAGAAGAATCTTTTGGCCTCGTAATGCAAGGGAGAAACTAAAAAAAGTGTCAAGCATGAAGACAATAAAATGAAAGGAATTAAGGCTAGGCCATCTCTCATGAAATGAAATCAAAGATATATTCTAATTGAACGTTAACTATTTTAGTCACTAAACACCAAAATAATTAGCAGGGCAATTTTAGTGTCAAGCACCAAAGCAAAATAAAGTAAATTTAGTCTTACATCTAGCAATATTGGAGTTAATCCATTCTTCAATATATTAAGCTTCCGCTGGAAAGAATTACCGTGCATCTGAAAACATTGAAGAAAATAAATCCGTTAGCTTGCAATACATGGAACAAAAACTCCTAAAATAGCCGTAGCAAAAACAATTCCCTACATCAGTTGTATGCCTGAAAGTCATAAATAAAAAGGAAATCACGTGATTAAAATCACATCTGACCAGTAACAAGACAAGTCCTTCAAAGTTTAGCAAACTTACAGCTGATTTTGCAAAATCCCAGCTGAAAAAGCGAGTAAAAAAAGAAGGTTCGCTTCCTTCCATGATGACAAAAATAGGTGTTTCTAGAGATACATTTTCCATAAGAAAATCTTGCTCAAGAAATTTCTGTAAATAAAAACTGATATAAGAATAAACCAAGAAAATACATAATAGGAAGGAAAGCCGAATTGTGACAACTTTACCTCTCCAATGTTCAAAGCATGCAATCTCGTCTTTGCATCCACCTGCTGTCCCACCCAAACAAAGATGTCGGAATGACAGTACAAAATGAATACATCTTCCGCCATTAAATCATCCTGAGTGAAGTTGTGTATTTCAGAGACCTGCAGCAATAGTATTAAAAGTATTCTATATTATAAATAAGCATAAAATAAACCCCAAAAAGCCATAAGAATTCAAAGGAAAATAGAAGCACGAACCTTTAAATTGCCTGAAGCAACCAAACCAACAGTACATGTACGTACAACAATGAGATAAATAACACATTAAACACAGACTAAGGATAACAAAAACCAGCAAGTTACATTCTCTCATTTCTTACCATTTGAAAAGGTACACGAGAATAGGTGAGGATCACTTTCTGGTTCCCTTGTTATGTTTTGACTAGGGTATTCGCATTTGCCCCCAAGCAAGCTCCAAAACTGTTCACTTTCTGACCCTTCCTTCTGTGGTTTTGGCTGAATGTTTGGCTGCACAATTCAAAAAACCAATAGACATGAATGAACAAAAGGGGAAGGAGATTAAAATGATGGTGAAGAAAAAGGATTGAAATCAACCTGTTAGTGGCCACAGAGGATAAACAAATCATAGGTTAACTTTAACTAATCGATAGACAAAATGATTCAGCTGTTGCTTTGCAACGCATGAAAAGAAGGTGCTATATTAGTGGTGAGAAATCAAATGTTGTTTGCCAGAACCAGAAGTCAACCCAAAGTGCTGTGTTTTCTTCACCAAGGGAGAAACTTGGAGAGAGAAAACAAAGGTAAACAACAGATAGTGATGAAAATTGAAAACAGATAACACACTTCTTTATTTCAGATAATGCAGAACTATTTTTTTCAAACTTCCGAACATAATCCCAAAATACTAGGGCATCTATAAACAGCCAAAAATTTTCATTCAAAAACATGCTCAAAGGAAACAATTTACGGAAAAAAAAAGTAAGAAGGTAAAGAAGGAAACATCACTTAATCAAGAAAAGGCATCTAAAAGAGCAATCTGTTTCCTGGCTATAAACTAATATTGTTAAGTAGCCAAAAAATGATGTACCCAACTATGATTAATCCTACTTTAATATGAATAACGCTTGAATGAAAACATGAGAAGACAAAATGAATTGTCCCCTGCTGAGGTATTTTGATCCACTAAGCTTTACTTCTAAGATGGAATTTTAAGTGAAAAAGCATATGCATAGACTTACCAAATCTTCAGCTAGACAATACTAACATGAATGGCCTTGTGCTAGACGCCGTTAAGTGACAATTCATGTAAGCATATGAATTGCTCCATAAGAGTTGCAGGAACGTAATCTGATAGAAGAGAAAAAAAGGTAAGGTGGACAATATTGGTGCATGGAATATATAAGGAGTGATTTGTGCAGTTATAGGTCAAGGCTTCACAGAACGGTTTGATGCTGGGTCATGTTTGTAGTATTTTAGGCTTTATGCGATGGACCTGGGGAAGATGGGATCTTTTGGGATTTTGCATGAAGATGTTTAATGGGGGAAGACACTTGATTGAAGAATGATTAAGAATTCAACAATCTTAGCAGAAAATTGATAGAATCAAGAATGAAATCTCATGATATTTGCTATGATTTACTGCATAAGGGAGTAACAAACGGAAGTTGTGACATCAAAATTGGAGAGCTTTGTGGGCTCCAAAAATTCATGCCCCAGCCTCTCACTAGGAGAGTTTAGGGAATATTATTCCATGTCAAATTTTTGGAAGGAAAATTAACTTAAAAATAAGAAACTGCCCAGAGATTTCGAACTCATTTTGCATGGACTTGATGATTTGATTCTAGGTTTTCTATAGGTACAAGCCCCCTAAGATTAATTAACTCTCCTGATCAAGTGCACAAACTTTCAATTAACACTAGTCATTAGATAAGCACAAAGTATCAAGCATATAGTAATAATAGATTTGATATTAGGATTTTAAATTTACTATCCTACACTTAGTTATAAGCTGAGATTATTCTTATAGTTATCATCCTTAACAAACATTTGCGAATGGTGGATGAATTTTGCTTTAACTCATAAATGATAATTTTCTCTCAAATAACTTGAATTTTGTGAAATTTTAGATTTCATATTTTTATTGAAATGTGGGCTCGAAGTAATTCTATCAATGCAACCATCATTGAAGTTTTAAATAATTTTATTTTTTCATCTGAATATTAACTCTACCTGCTTACCAAAAGAAATCATGACCAAATATTGACTTTAAGAGCTACTATATGAATGATGACCCTGAGAGTTCACATTTTTATAATGAATTTTCTTTGCAAAAGTTGTTGAAGGCCTAATGCGAATGTAAAACAAAAATATCTTTATGGATTTTACAAATGTACAATCATTTGTGAGAGTAAATTTTATAGTGAATCATTTAAGGTCTATAGTTTAGGTGTCTGCCATGAAATTCAAGACTCGTCGACTCTAGTCCATGGAAAGAGGAGGATCAAACTTAAAATGTGAGATTAAGACTCTAATGCATAAAAAAGACAACCCACTTGAGAGCTTAGATATGATATTTATGCCCAAGTGCTTGAATTTTAAAGGAGAGTTTGAATCAAAGGAATTCAAAATATTTGCATGTATTTTGAGGCTAAGTAAATTTAGATTCATTCCATTTCAACTTGCGCAATATTCTCAAATTTAGAATTTAAAACTTAGGACTTGTAATCATTTGAGAAAAGGAATGCAGCTAGAATTAGATTACACCTCATAGTGTCGTTCTCCTTCACAATCTAGCCAAAACTCCTATCTCACTTAGCTTGGATGAGACCCATAAAGTCCCCTAAATTCTTCAATAAAAAAAAAAAACTCCAATTCTATCCAGAACACCTCAAACTAGTAAACTAAATCTTAAATTTTCCTCATACACAATTTCCATTACAAAGGCCTAATCCACTTTGATCAAACTCAGTCTCACTGCTGCTAGTGAATGCAACTTCAAAAATCCCTCTGAAACCACAATTTTAAACCAAGTTCCCCATTGTAATTCCCAAAATTAATCAAACAGGTCCAATAAAAAACTTCAAAACCCATAAATCCTCCATGCCAAATTACACCCAACTAAATTTGGAGGAGATCTCAAGCGTTTCACTTGATTTGGAATTTGGATCATGATAAAAAGGTTTAAGAAGGCAGCATGTGATAAGGGATTAAAAAAACACCAAAATTAATAAAAATCTTGGGGAATACTGAACAAAATATTCACAGCAATAATGCAGCAAGGTTGAAGGTCAAAGCACCTTTATCATGTCCAACTGTCTCTCGACAAGTTCTTGGTTATTTGAGGTGGTAAGGCTTCCGGACCATGTAAATACGGTATTGCCACTATGTAGAATGTAGCAATAAGAAGAATTCAGAGATGATGACACCTGAAAAAATAGGAGAAATAAAGCGATGTAAATTATCAAAACTAAAGCATAAGTGGGGGAAAATTCTGCATTATTGGGTTTCATTATATATATATATATATATATATATATACATACATATATATAAAGAACATTAATTGTGTTTAGGAGAAAATGTACCGGGTTAACTTGAATTGCTTGCATATTATCAGGTCCACAACCTTGAACTCTAAACAAAGCAATGCCCTCTGGAGTATAAGTCTCATCTTCAAGGCCATTTTCCGTCCTAAACTTTTTGTACCCTGAACTCATACCACCCTGCAACATTAAAGTAAAAAAGGCATCAGAGGTGTTTTCCAGATATGCCCTTTCCAGTCAACTATGAAGATTCTACAAATTATACCGCTTAGATAAACTTTTAGAAGATAGAAGTGTATAAAGCTTAACAAATTAACCTTAAAAACAATCAAGCTCTGGAATATTGACAAGAACTGGATAGGTTCCTTTCCCTCATAAATGCGAGCCTAAAATTTCAAAAGCGAGAAGCTGTAAATCATACAATGCTAATAAAAAATCAAACTGAAATCCATCTGAAACCAAAAGTTTACTTGAACAGCCTGGGACTTCAAGGATTCAACCATATTTGTGGCAAGCGAGACTGCTGCACTCCTCTCTTCCTGTATTCATTATTAAAAAAAAAAAATCAGTACATACTAATAGATATTTTTAGGGTCAAAGCTGGCAACCGATTTTCAAAACAAAATAGCCTATCAAGCTTTAGCCGTACAGTTCAAACCTTTCCATTAACATCTCAGAGCGGCAAAACACATTTAAATGCATTTGAAGTTAACAGATAACAACCTAGGAATAACTTAAAAAGCTTGCATCAAGGAAAAATAAATCCAGGAAAAATTAGTCAAAATAACAACAACAACAACAACAATAACAATAATAATAATAATAATAATAATAAGGCTTACCAAAGTGCTTTCCTTCCCAAACCAGGTGCCCAAAAGATATTCCTCTTTGTCATTTCCAGGAAAGCTATATTGAAAAATATAGCAATCTCCACTATAAAACATGGACTGCTCAGAAGATGATAGAAGGTACTTTTCATTCCCACTTACTCGCCAAACCTGGGCATTGATGGACGAAGCCATTGTTAGCATTTAAAATTAAAGTACATGATCCAAAAAACATCCAGATGGATTAAGATGTAAACAGAAAGCACGTCACTTCTGACAGACAAAATAAAAAATTAAAATGGTTAAGAAATAGGAAAGTCCATAGAAAGCACCTGCAAATTGCCTGTGCAATCAATATAAGGTTGAGGTTCTTCCTTCACGGGAGACGCTTTCATGAGACCCTTCACATTAACACCTTGGCGTTTAAGAAGTGCTACACAAATCCAGAACTACTTAGCAACGGTACCCATAAAATGTACTAAGAAATAGGCACTCATATTCTAAATGAAAAAATCAATTTACCAGCCACTTTGCCTCTACCATCCTCAGATAAAGACACATCAACAGTCCTTGGCCATGTATCAAACTTTGCACGGAAAATTGTAGTCTCAAAACCCTCAATTACACGAATTATCTGAACTTTTGGCCTACCAGGACCATGGCTTAATTCCTAATAGAGATTCGAAAGTAACCATGAAATGTTAATGGATAGCAAAACAAATTTCATGGAATAAAAAAACAAGATATACTCTTACTTCAGCAGATGCACTGGCACTTTTTCTTTCTTCAAGAGATGTACTTCTTCCCATCCACACAAATACTTCAAATCCACAATCAAGAAGGTAGCACTTGTTCGTGTCCAACAACTGTCTTACCAATTTATCAGCGACCACAGGCACTGGCTGCCCTTTTTCAATACTGAAATGATATGTTCCCATCACTTACATAAAATCAAATTAAGAATCATTAACTCCAATTAATAAAAACTTAATTTTGAACAAATTTTAGCCATATTTTCTTTGCCCTACCCATCCTTCCAACTAGAACTTTGGCCCGTGCCACACGGGACCTTATTTCAGAAAATAGTAAATAATGAGAGACTATTTGTTAATGGACAAAAGTCACAAAACACTTTTTAACAAACAAATTTTAGTCATATCCTCCGGCATGATGAAGAAAATAAGAGGCTTTGCCTAGTGAAAATAAAATGTACAAATAGAATATCTGGCTTTTAACCTTCCAAGTTTTGTTCATGACTTGCTTTCATACGTTCCATGTCACTCGATCATTTTTTTCATGAAAATCACTCATAAGTATGCGGTGACAATATGTACACACCAAGGACATTTACTAAAGGCTACCTACTTTCCTAGTGCAAGACTGACCGAGGGTAATCTTATACTCCAAAAACTAGTATGTGAGGATTACATGGGGTTACATGAATGCATGAAACTCCGAGCTTCCCCTCCTAATATTTTGTAATACCTAAAAATTTCAAAAAGGCAAGATTAAAATTTCTCTTAAAAATCATACCCCATTTTTCACACACCTAAGAAATTATCAAAAATATTTTTATAAACTTTATTTTTCATTTCGATCACTTTAATACATATAAGTATATATAATAATATTAATAAATTAATCTACATGTTAAATATTATTTCCTAAAATTCTAATTAAAGTTACTGTAGCATCAACTAATGCATTGTAGCAATTTAAAAAATTTCATCCATCTCCACGTGGCATGCAAAGGCTAAATGACAAATGGAAGGTTGGAATGAGTTATAGGATAGTTTAATTTTATATATATATATATATAAGCCTTATCTCTATTTCCCGTAATCCATCGTTATCCCGTGAGTTGGAGGGGGGATAGTAACAGGTAGGGCTGGAATATAGAAGGAAAAGAAGTTGAAAAGAAGAATAAGAGAAGAAGAAGAATGAAGAGAAGAAAATGGAAAGAAGAGAGGAAGAAGGAAAGAAAAGAGGAGAAAAAGAGAAGGAGAAGGATGAAGGGAAGTAGAGGCCAAGGTTTAAGGTAAGATCTGATTTTTAATATTTCCTTTCACAAATCAAGTTTAAGATCTGATTTTTAATATTTCCTTTAACAAATCGAGTTTAAATGTTGACTAATAGGCTTGAAACCTCTTCAAACAAGTAGAATTCTTTCGAGATAAAAATGTTATTTTGAGGTTATTTGTTTTTAGTTTCGAGTTGTTAATTTAAAATTTTGCATTGAAGTGGAGAAATTCTTTTGTTAGATTGTATATGAGAGAATGGCATGTTAGGACAATAACAAAAAAGTCGCGCGAAGATGATCCTATAATTGAGGTGAGATACTCAATCTCTAATATAAGGGATAAATTATTCATAAGCCTATTATTTGTACGTTTTTGTAATTATATTTAACTATTATATGTATGGATATAAAATTTCTTCATTTTGAGCATTGCTAATAGCACCAAACATTACAATAAAAACTATTGTACTGTTCATGATCTCATGTTCAAATAATTTCAAGATATTCCAACAGAACTGAAATCGTAATGCTGCTTTATCAAGTATAGGAATAAGCATCCAAATGTCAAGTTTTATACTTTTATATATCATGCTTTACCTTTGACGTATATTAATGCAGGTTGATTGATTGATCCCATATGCATCTAATATAACAATGATAATATCAAACCTTTATCCCACTACTTGGGATCAGCTACATCAATCCTTTTTCTTCATTGCGACTTATTAAGAGTGAAATTCTCATTTAAATCTAATAAATTTCTAATACTTTATAACCAAGACTTATTAGGATTACCTCTATCTTTCTTAATATATATCAGATCTAATATATACCCTCTTACCTAGATAATCAGAAGGCCAACATTTTATGTGACCAAACCATCTAAGGCAAAGCCCTCTAATCTTATCTACCACTAGTGCCACTCCAACCTTTTCACATATACTCTCGCTTTATATTTTGTCTCTAAGAATAAAGCCACTCATCCACCGAAGCTTCCTCATCTTTACAACACTTCACTCAATTTTATGCTTCTCCTTTAATGACCAACATTATGCATCATAAAGCCGTGTAGGTCCTACCACCAACTTGTACAATTTATCCTTAAGTTTGAGAGATACTTTTCTATCACATAACAGGTCCAATGCATTCTTCCACTTCAACCAACCAACTTGAATTCTCTTAATAATACCCTCATCTATTTCATCATTATTTTAAACAATAGACCCAATAAACCATGAACCCTTTTTGAATAAAAAGATCGCATAAAGTCACAATCCCCCCACTAGACCTATTACTGCTAAAATTACACTCCATATATTCGATTTTAGATCTACACATTAACATCTACTACTAAGTAATTTTAAATGCACATGATAATGATGTTAAAAATAAAGGAAGCCTATGAAAGGTAATGTCATGATGAATAGGTCGCAGACTGTAATGACCTACATATAATGAGGCAAAAATTGTGACAAGAAGAGCCTTAGTAGAGAAATAATTAAGGATCCTCGAGTCTTGATACTAAAAAATTGGGACTATTTGAGGCAGTTGATAACTGCAATTTTGATTGACCAAACTAATATGATAAATTTGAGGTAAAGTATTTTTTTTAGATTATATGTTTAAATAATGTTAATTAAATTTTAAAATAAACTTATGATCTTATGTAATGCCTGATTATTATTGATTTATGAATTTCTTAAGAATGAGAAACAATAAATTCTATTAAGGAAGTTGAATCTAAAATTTATTTTGAAAGCAATTTAGTTGAAAATTTTATTTATTAATTATAATATATATATGTATTTATTTTGAGTATATGTATATACATGTAAAGATATCATAATTAAATTCGTATATGAGATTTTAAACTAAATAAGTAATAAATTAAGTTTATATTATGCTAAATTGTAAATTAGATTTAGACGAACAATGAATTTATGAGCTAAATATAATTTGTATAGTAAGAAAAATAAGAGTATATTTTAATAGATATAAAGAAATTTAAATGTCAAGGATTTGCAATCAATCTATAAATTAAATAATAATATCTTTTTTATAGGTGCTAAATTTAAATGTCAAGGATGTGCATACAATATCATTGTATGCATATTTATATAAGTCTATGAGCAAGACACCAATTGAGATCATTCAAGAAGCGAACCATAAAAATCATATAGATCTTATCCCTTCATCATTGTATGCATATTCTACTTTTGCAGCATCATTTGAAGAGCATATAGATGATGGAATAAGAACGAATGTTTACTTATATATATATATATATATTCTAACACAATGAATGTCGAGATATGTTAAAACGGAGAATTTGAGAGGGAAAAGTTTGAAATTATTCATTACAATCTTCTCTATTTATAGATCTATACAAGACATCCTAATGAGGAAATAATAAATTGCATAATTAATACATAAATAATACATAAAAAATCTTTCCTAAATACGTCCCCTCATTATGGCGTAATCCATGAGAGTATCCCACAGATTGATCTTTGTGTCCGTCAGATCCTTTGCACTAGGAACGGCTGGATTTCGATGGAAGTGACTTTGTCATGATTCACATACATACCAAACTTCTCGCTCAAATTAAATACGAGCATTTAAGTGCAATGGCTTGCAATCATTTTCAAATAAATACTATAATTAGTTTAATACTTACATTTTAGATTTGCCTTGTGACATATTGTTATGTCCTATTTTCAATATTGAAGATTTAACACCTTATGGAGGAACTTTCAAAGGGAGTCTATGTTAGCTGTTACTTCTAATGAGCCTATCATTCTTGCTAAAGCTGCTTACTTTGATATTGAGAGGTCATTTCAAACAAAATTATACTTGGAATGATGAGCATAGATTCTCAATTTGATAGAAAGACATAACCATCAAATGATAAATGGATGACAAATAAAGAATAACAAAAACTTGCACCTAATTTCTTGGATAACATTATTGTGGCTAACTCTCCAAATGAGAGTTTTTTTTGCACCCAAGGGCAATTTAGTTCATGATGGATGATCATTCAACCAAATCAATCCACGCAAATACAATTTCCCATAAGCCAATCACAATCAATCCAAGCTTAAAAAAGAGCTTAATCGAACCAATTTTCAGGACTTTATAGAGCCCTCATTAATTTAGGTTGAATTTCGTTGTATTTATTTTTATTTTTCATTAGATTAAATGTAAAAAAAAGATAAGAATAACCTCATCCTTATTAGATCATTAACTTAGTAGCAAGTATAAAGATATCTCATTCTTATATCAAGATTTGTTTTCATTTATAAATAAGGCTGCTTGTATGAACTTACGGAGTACTATTGATAAATAATTTATTTTTTGAGACCCATGATGGTTTTTTGTTTCTTCCTCTATTAATTTAATTAACATATATAGATCGCTCCAAGTTGTAAACATAGAAGAATCTTCTTTCCTTAAGTTATCTCCTTGTCAAATTGAACAAGGAAAAAGAGAAATCTTCTAAAAACTCCGTTACATATCATTTCAGTTTTTTCATAAATCCAACTAAACATCTTATTTAAAAAAAATCTTGATTAGAATGACCATAAATAAAACCAAATGCTTCACAAATTTTGCGAAGTTGAATTATTTGCATATAATTAGTTACATAAGATTACCTGAAGAGCTTTATTGCAGGACTGATTCCATTTACATTATCATCAGATGTTCTCCTTGGAAGTGGAGCGAATCCCCCAAAAAGGCCCCAAAACTCTCCAGCATCAGCATCAGCCATTAGCTTTCCATCCTCTAGATAAATTTTTTTTCATTTTCCAACTAGAATCATCATTTGTCAGACAACATAGGGTATATAGATGAAAGCAACTTACCAACAGTTGCCACATCGCACTTCCCCTCATGATAAGCATCTTTAACATATTGAACAACTTCAAGGGCTTTAGCTCTCTCCTGAATAGATGAGTTTGAACCATTGAACTGGAAAATCTTGGACTTCGTGTCCAAAATAAAAATGCCATCATGGTTCAGTGAGGATCGAGCAAAAGGAACCTAAAGAATGATAAAACCATAGTCAGAATTTTTAAATAGAAGAGCTACATAGAATATACCTTCATCAGATATTTTAAATGGATTCATACTTGCCTCTTTAACACGAATAGCATGTTTTCCTTCGCAAAGAAACATGCGAGTCTTATGATCATGTTCATTCACTTCTACATGCTTGAACCCAGATGCCATTCCCCCTGACTGTGGTATGATACATGGTTTGAAATAAGACAAGAATCTGTCAGTCTCATGGCCTTGCACTTCACGGTATTGAACAGCACGCCCTCCAAGTGCTGCATCTAGCTCAACGGTCTTGATTGCAGCAGCACCGGCTTCATCCTGCTTAATAAAAAAATAAGAGTAATAATCAATTTTGAAAGCAGGACTAAGAAAATGCAAAATACAAACACTAAGAGATGCGATGGCTTAGTAAGCAACCTGACTGCTATTTTCACCCAACCAATAATGAATGTCATTCCGAAGAGCACCACTTTTCAGAGCAGTTGTCTGTTCAAGAAAAAGTGGATTAATCTCTAAAGAACTATATGGATGAGGGCAATTCAGATTTACAAATATAACTTCAAAAGGTTCACCGCAACAATTGAAAATTACAAGTCATAATTAAAAAAATTGCCAAATTGCAAGATCCCAATACATTATAGAAATCATTCAAAATTCTACTAACTATTGAAAATAATTAATGCAATAACTAGAAAAAAATGCTTTGTAGCCATCTAGGAACTTTGGCCATTAAGAGGCTTGATCACATCAATGGCTATATCAGTGACTACATAACAATTGCCAACCACTAAGTCAAAAAAGGAAAGGGCAAGACCATAGATAGAGGTTAGCTGGGCTAATTAACTGCGGACATTGCCATGACCTTCCTAGGTAAAGGATCTCTTGCGATATTTTGTAACAAAATTATTTTATTATAAAATATAGGATCCTCATAATATTTAAGCACGCCAGCTATTTTTTTCTTCTTCCATTAATTTTTAGGAATATTTTAGATTTTACAACCATCTAACCCTTACCTATTAAAAAGGTAGCTTGGTACACAAAATTTCCAAAGGAACTTCAAAATATTTCTTTACCAGTTTATACCAGATGACTTACAAACATAGGAAAATTCAATGCTACATTACGACTAGCCATGCAACCATTGCAAGATGCCAGATTGTTGGAAGTGACATCTAGGGCAGAACCTCCTTCGCCAATTCAGAATTACAAGAAATAGCTCAAGGACCCGTAATGACCTTACCCCCTTTCAGTTTAACTCTATAAAGTGACCTCTTGACCCATATGCTACCTAAACCCTCTCTGGCTTTAAGCAGGCTTCCAATCCTAAACACATATACTCCATCTTCAAACTATGGTTAAAATGGTACTTGAGTATTTATGAAAGACCATTTTAATCCCAGACATTTTAAACTGTCCAATTTAGTCTCTTGACTCCTTAATGATCCAAAGTTATTCCACAGTTAGAATAATTATTTATTTTTTATGGAAATTTCAAGCAATTTTCACAAATGAGAACTTAAATGAGGATATTTAACGCAAATCAACATATATTGAAATTTTATTATTCAAAAATATCATTATTCCCCACCTCCTTCATGAACGTTGCGTGAAATTAACATCAAATTAAAAAGCGATTAGAAGTATGGGCCTATTTTGGATCATATTTGAGGATTCACAGAACTAAATTGGACATTCAAATAAATTGGGACTAAAATTGATCCCACAAATAGTCCACGGATCAGTTTGACCATTTAGACCATTTAATCTTTCATTTTCATATTAGTTGGTTTGAACAGCTATGAGTCCTCTGGTGTGGATTTGGAACAGTGAGCATGAAGAAATCACATTTCCCATTAATCTTTTTCACAGAAATCAAACCTCAAACATACACTTCGAAGATAAATGGAAACACCACTAGCTATGCATTCGGTGGTTGTTTCCCATGAATCAATAAAAGAGATGGAAACAGCTTTTCATAAGAAAAGCATGATTACACAACCTCAAATACAAGGGAACAAGTCTATGTTGTTGTTGAGAACAAACAAACCGCCATACCAACTCGGAAAGCATAATGTTTTAATTGCAAGAACTTGAATCACATGTCCAAAATATTCCTATGATGTTCTAGGCAAAGTTGGCATATGCTACTATTTGAGCTATCCAAACACCTGTAATTGGGGGAAGTTGTGAAAATGTAGTGTCTATGACGTGTTTAGATTTGTGATGAAGAAAAGAACTCCATCCTTTTGAAATAAATAGCCATAATACCGAGAAGAACATAGAACACATTAAAGAAACTTCCTACAACAATAATATGCAGGGAGATCCCAACATATTTGCAACATTCAAAGTTGCAAAACTTTCACCCTATTATCAGCATGTAAATGTCTAAGACATCGAGAATGACTCTACATCAACACAGAAAGAATGACATAGTTATTAGTCTGTCGGTATCATTTTCACAATTAATTTTACTATTGGAGTTGTTTTTCTTTTCATTCTTTAGTAGGATTAATTTTGTATTTAGAAGTTTCTAAGTCATATTAAGTGCTATTATATTTATACCATATCCCCTTAGAGAGAACAATTTTCCGGTTGAGGTTTTTTCAAGTTTGTCCAGGTTTGGGGTGGAAAACCCTGTTTTGGAGAGGATGGGAGGAAAAGATATTGTAGTGGAGTCCGGGACTATGCCACAATCAATAGACATAACTCAGAGAGCCATCTCCTGATATTTATATCAGGTCAGTTTCAGTAGATCTAGCATTAAGAAAGACTTCCGGTGACAGCAATAGGAAGGGTCTCTTACAATTCGAAAATGAAAGAACCACTGTTATTTCAGGGAAGTGGAGGATCTTAAAGGACCAGCAATTGGGAGAGCTGAAGGGAACTGCCATTCAATGAATTAGAGAAACGGTAAGAACATTCGGCTGAAACCAAAGAACAAAGGCTGCAGAAATCAGAAAACACAGAGCAGAACAATTCAAGCATCCCGAGAACAACAAAATTTATCAGCTTCTTGATACTTCCAAGTTCCAAATCATCTAATCAAGCCTCTGTAGTCCATTCTATAGTCATTAATACTTTTCTTCAACAAATATAAAGAAACAGGGAAATACCTTGAGAATTACATAGGCATCTCCAGTGAAAAACTTCCCATATGAAGATTTTGGAACAGCCACGGGCTGAAAGTTTTCAATTCGCCAGATTTCCAACCCACTATGAACTGTCAAGGAAAACAATGATGTATATCCAAGAAATAAGACAATTAAATTTATGCATTTAAATTCTCAGAAGTACGATCAAGAAGTCATACAAAAATGAAATACTGACCATATTGGCCATTAATTTATAAACAACAATAATTGCCTCACAAGACGATTCAAAAAATCATTAAATTCAGCCTCCCAGCATGAAAAAATGGTTAAGCAAAGTATTTCCCTCTCCTTATCCTAGCTTGCTACCCAGGCTGTACATTGGACATGCCCCTTGTTTGCAAAAATGTACATTAATTGAATTTAGAGGATCGAAAGCTACTTCTCATGCCACAATTCCTTGCATCATAGCATTTAAAGCCTATGGTTTCATTAATTATTGAGAATTTGGACACAAAAGGTATCATTTTTGCAAACAGCAACCAATGTTTAGACCAAATCCTCAGTCCTCCAGACACATTTTAAACTAGAAAATGGCTGATCCCGCAGGAGATTAAGACATGAAAGCTCAATCAGAAATAGTACAATAAAGGCTAAACCATGAGAAGGTTAAATGGTTTCGGTAACTCTTATTTCTATGGCAATTACAAGGGTTGCACCTATTGTTAAAGTCTAAGATATTAAATTTCTAAAAATAGTAGGAATATGATGAGATAGCAAAGTTACTTTCAACTTCCTCTTATTCAGAACAAGAGACTATCAAAAACTTATTATTTAGACAGTTTTAATTAATTCTAAGCCCGCCTCCCTCACACTCAAGCTATTCCCCAAATGAGCACTCCAGGTGGGCCCCCAGTCCCAACCTAATCCATAATTCCTAATCCACTAAACTATCCATCTTATACAAATAAATAAATAAATAAAATAAAATAAAAACCTATCCATCTTATACACAAGAATCCAAGCTCCACTTCTCAAATGGACAATAATTCCTACATTGAAAAATTACACAATGCATGCAGCTCCAACCAATATAGGAGGGGTGCACGCAGCCTTACCCTCTAAGGAGGGTTGCACGCAGCCTTACCCCGTATTTACATAGAGGTTGTTTCAACATTGAAAATTGGGCCACAATAATACACTAAAGGCAACTTCACCAATGTTATAGGTCCACCATCAATTAACTCCACTATACAAACAAAGGTGATCTTCATCCTCAAAATAGATTAGGCAGCCTTTTGATCTTCAACTCCAACTTGGATCAATTTCCAACATTAAACACATGTGGGAGCAACCAAGCAAACATGGTGAAGACTCCTAAGCATAAGTAAGCCAATACGGGAGATCTAGATCTACTGCTTGATGAAACCATGTCTAAGGAGACATTGCATAGCATGGTGACTTGACCAAACGATTGAAAACATGATGCTTATATGGCAATTTTTCTATGATTTTTTTATCAAAACTGCATTTAAATCTATGAATTGAATTTTTGAGTTCATTTATTATAATCAAGATAATGTCATCAAGAGGGATTGATCAAGTGAGATAGAAGCCAATTCATTAAATAAGTTTGAGAAAAACTCAGCAGCATTTGACATCAAAGCAGAGTGTTGAAGTTATCCATAAATTTAAGATTGGAAAAGAGATAACAAGGTAATCAATATCTAAATGTGTTAATATCAACATGCTATGAAAATTTAATATCACCATCATAAGCTTCATGCAAGCAATTTTTGTTGGCTTTATGAATTCTTCTTCATTAATTTTTATTGAGTGTTCCATAGATATCAACACTAGCTCATAAAAGTCACTTCACTATACTACCTCCTGCTATCTTTAGTCTATCAATTATCCTTCATATTTCATATACAACCATTCTATCTACATGTTATATTGTTAGACCATCATCACTGATATAGAAGCCCAAGCCATGTTTACAATTAAAGTATCTCTATTATGAATTATGCTGACTATCTCCCTTTAGCTCTATCCTTCCTAATTTTATAAGACATCTTAATATTATCAATAATTCAATATTAACCCTAAACCTGATAGTCAATGATTTCCTTAATACTTAACACTAGATTCATGATTTCCTTAGTACATAACACTAGAGTTCATGACAAATAGTCAATAGCCAATAGCCCAATATAATTGTAATATTGTGAAATTTAAACCTAAGCTCTACAATGACATTTTCTTATGATATACTATACATGAAGCACTTCTTCATCTTATCAGCTTAGTTTTAACTCTAGAGTTATATCATTAATACCTGATCCTTTTGCATGCCTTGATGTAGAGATTTGAAATAGCAAAACTTGAAAAATAATGGACAATATACATGAAGGCTGTCGAAAACAGAAGTTGAATATTGAGATCATCAACAAAATTAGCTCTATTATAACTAGCAGTGTTGACTTTATGAATCCTCCAATATTGAGTCATGTTGAGTGTGCATTTAGATGGATGCTACAAACACATAGAACAGTGAACAACATCACAAAAGAGTTTGATATATGTATTCCTTAATGTCAACTGAACTTGGTAGTAAAATTAATATCATACAATAACATCAACCAAGTCATTCAACACATTCTTAGAAGGAAAGTTATTCTTCAACTCATTCTTTAGTAGCAAGGTTCTACCAATCAATCAACTGCTAAATTGAAACCAACTTTAACAACTTACAATGTGCACGCAATAACACTGAACGTAAAATTTAGAGCCAGAGAAAAAGAAAAAATTACGTAAAATTTAGAGCCAGAGAAAAAGAAAAAATTCAAACAAGTATAGTAAAGAAAGCACAAGGATACGCCTTTTGTCCAGCTCCTTGAAAGGCAGGATCAACTTCCCTCATAGAAACTGCCATATTGTTGTTCGGGCTTGTTGAACTATTGTTTGTCTCCCTTACCTTCAAATTTGACTCCAAAGAACTCTAAAAGATTAAATGAACAAAAATTAATAAAAGTATATCCATTAGTCAAATATCCTTAGAATGGGAAAGATAACTAAGAAAATGGCATGAGATGCATCAAATTAAAGGCATTGTCACATTCTCGGAGATGAAATTTTCATATTGAATATATTTGATCTGCTAAATACTAGGAAAAAAGAAAGCAAATGATAACAATACATAATTACGACATTCTTTGGAATAAATATATACCCTGTAGGGCGTCATGGAAAAATAAAGTAATTCAAAATTTGTTATGCATATACTTTATTTGAAGAATTACCATGATTCTAGAGATGCAGAAAACTTAATACTTTATGATGCAGCATATGATAAGAGAGATTGTCAAATATTGTTCTCCAAGTGTGACTCACCAAAGTAGATTACTATTTTCAAATTAAAACAAAAAACTCCACTTCCAAACCGCTAAAAAGAATATTAAATTTACAAGAAGCCTATTTGATGGATTATAAGAAAGAAAATATGATAAAAGCCTTTGCAATTGAAATTTACAATATTTCTTTGGGAAAGAAACAAAACAAAATGACTATACAAGATCATTTTGGTCATCAACAAAATAAAAGTTGCAAGTTAAACCAATCAAGCAATATGAAAAATTATCCTAAAAATCTCCTGAATATATCATTTTGATATTCTCTGTCATTTAGCATTCAACATATGAGCATTGTAAGCTAATAACAAAGACATGCATGAAAATCAAAGGGCTTTGGGGTATGATACACTTAACATTTCTGAAAGTCCGAACTAAGTTGCAACAATTTCTCCTCGAGAAGATATGTAGTGTCCAACACATATCGGATACGACATGCATCCGACACACCTTTGACATGTATTGGGCACACCAAAGACATGTCTAATTAAAAAATCATTATAAACAAATTGGACACATGTGTTCTATACATGTGTGTTAAATATGAACTTTTTTTAAATATAAATTCTTGTAATTCAATATTTATTAAAAGAATTAAATTTCTTATATTCTTTCCACAACAAACATCCTACACACCTTTAAAACTGATAACATTGTCATTGTCAGGTCCCAAATTCTATATAAAAAAGTAGAGGGTTGCATTAGGTTGCCGACAGATGACAATCAGCATAAAAGTTGTCAAATAATCATGACATGAATCATTTAATACTTGTTAATACAAATGCATTCCCTGAAAGTGACGTGTTGCATGACCTGAATACAATGAGAAGAGTGCAAGGGTCGCTGCACCGGCGCTCGGATGCAATGTTAAATAAGCAAAGGTTCCCACATCATGGACGTATGTGGGCAAAGAAGCTTATCCGTGAAACTAGAATTATGATAAGAACTTAAAATACAGGTTCCCTTATAGGCAAATTAATGAATATTATGATTCATAGAAAGATAAATTTTCTAATGCATTCAAAAAATTAAATGGGTTAGAGAGAAAGTTAAGGAGATCAATAATTTATGATTTAAATTATGATATTTTGATAGGAGTCATATTAGAATTGAAGATGTGATTATAGATAAGAGTTTAAAGGATTATGTTATAAAAATTAATAGAATTGAAGATACAATTATAATTTTAAAAATTGTTGTTGATGCTAAGATTATTAATATTATAAGTGCTTATGCTCATCAAGTAGTTTTAAAAATTGTTGTATTCAAAACTAAAATTTTAGAATGAACTTAAAATAATTAATACAAAAATATCTCTTGAAGAAAGAGTTTTTATTGAAAGAGATTTAAATGGATATGTTGGTAGAGAGGTAGACAATTTTAAAAATATTTATGATGACTATGAGTTTGAAACGATTAATAAAGGTGGTAACACCATATTAGATTTTATTCTAGCTTATAATTTTGTAATTGCTAATACCGTATTAAGAAAAGAGATGAGCATCTCATTACTTATAAGAATGGATATAGTAAAACTCATATTAATTATTTTCATATAAAAAATAGACCATTTAGATTGCAAAGATTATAAAGTTATTCCGAGTAAAATTTTATACACCCAACACCGCATATTAATTTTGAATTTTAAGATGAAGGGAAAGAATATGAAAAATAAAACAAAATATTATTCTATGATTAGACGGGAGCATCTAAATAATATTAACAAAAATATTTTTAAGTGTAAGATTCTAGATCTAAGATTTTGTCTGTGCATGAGGAGTCTAATGCTATGTGGGAAAAAATAGCTAGTGATATTAAAAATATTGCATAAGATGTGCTTGGAGTATCAAAAAGAAAAACTCCTGATAGAAAAAATAGTTGGTGGTTGAATCAAAATATACAAGAAAAAAAAATAAGAAGCTATGTTATAAAAATTGATTTATATGTAAAAACTCTGAAAATTGAGAAAGATATAAAGAGGTCCTTAAGGAGTCTAACAAAGCAATATGCGATGTAAAGATTTTAGCTTTTAATGATTTATATCAAGGTTTAAAATTGCGTAAATAAGCCTCGAGGCAGTTTTCATCCGTGAGGCGAGGCGTAAGCCTCGAGGCGTTCTGAGACGTAAGCCTCACGGACGCAGAATTGCGTAAATGAGAATTTAAGGGTTTTAGCAGATAAATAATGCAAGATTCTATCATACAATACAAACATCTAAATGACAAGTGGAATTAGTGAAAATTAAGAAAAGCGGTACAATAAAAGCATGTTCCAAAGTACAAAACTACAAAATTATAATCTATCAGAATTCCCAAAGTACAATTAAGAAGGAACATATAAAATTCAATCATATCACATTACTAAATGGGTCTTCAAGGGAATCTTCTTCTCCAATTGTATTTATGAATGTCATATCTTCATCATCTTCAATATGACTCACTTTTCTCTTCCCTGTTCAATAAAAATGATTATTAATTTATTATCATGTTAATTGCTCACTTGATATAAATATAATGCAATAGTATATAAGAAGTTGTGGAATACCTTTACTTGATTGTTGTGCTGCAGAGCTAGTGGATGTGTGTGGTGTGATACTAATGGATGTGCCCACTTGATCTGCTTCGCCCCTCAAGACATCCATACTTAGATCCTCTAGCTATAAGTCTGATAATGACAAATCTGTCTCATCATCTATGAACCACTCATTATCAGATGACACATCATCGCACACCAACGGGTCCTCATCATCCTTCAACACCTTATTCCTCAACCTCCTATCTCTTAATCTCTTGTTGTGCATAATATATACAAGGGAGTTCATTCTGAGTGTTGATAGCCGATTTCTTCTCTTTGTTTGTACTTGACTATATGAACTCCAGTTTCGCTCACACCCAGAAAAAGAACAAGTGAGGCCCAAAACTCTTACAGCAAAACTCTGTAACTCAAGGGTGAAATCACCAAATTGGATCCACCATTCAACTGTTTTCAAGAAGAAAAATGATAATCAAAACTTAATAAAGTGTTTTGCATTTACCAAAATAGCTATACTTGGAGACCGTTTAGCAATCGTTGATTTTGCTGCATGCAGACCAAAAAAATCCTCTTTATTCCGAAATAGAACAAGTTGTAAATCTGCAAGCTCCTTATCTATCTGCTCTGGTATTAGTCGTTCCATGCAATGATACAGACCAAGCTTCACCTCTGGGTTTGAAGATTTCCTCTCTGAATATTGAAATTGAGGATTGAGATAATATGCCGCTGCATGTAAATGACAGTGTAACTGTACCTCCCACCGAGCATCAATGATATCCCAAATTTCTCTATAACTTGCCTCCTCTCCTCCCAAGTTGTGTGCAATCAACTCCTTGGCCTCATCCATAGCATTATAAATAAAACTCATGGCTAGTTTCTTCTCAGCGTCCACTAAATGTAGAACTTGCACTAAGGGTCTTATGCTCAATATGGCATAGGTCACAGTAGTCCAAAATTTATCATTTAAAATTATTTTTCTTATTTCCTTCCCCTGACTTTTCTTCCCCCACGCAGAGTTAAGCCATTTGATGGACCGGTTCACCCTGAACCGGTCCGGCCTGGACCCGTGCGGGTCTACAGGCGGAGGGGAGAGGGGCGGGCGGTCCGGTTGGACCAAGGGGCCCCATCCACTTAAGTGGGGGCATTTTGGGGAGGGAGAAATTGTGTGTTGGTATGAAGGGAGCCATTAGGGTTTAGTGGGGATCATTATGAAAAGTATATTCTCTCTCTTATTTTCTCCTTAGCCTCCTTCTTGCTCTTTTCTAGGGTTTTCTTGTGGGAGATCTTATCCTTCTCGAAGTGGACAAACTTATCTTGTTTTCGCTTGGTTTTCTTATGCAAAGGTTTTTGCTTCTCATCTCAACCCTCTTGTGATTGTTCTTCTTTGGTTTTGATGGAGAAATTCCTCTTTTTGGGGGGAAATTAGGGCAAAACCGAAATTGTCAAAATCTAAGG